CTTTCTTCCCCTATTGATATACTCCTTCTTGCCCTCATCTTTAGACACTACTTTTCTTCTTGAGTCCTATTGTCAACACCTCTTTGCCCAGTTCAGCCTTCTTCCACTGACATTTGAACCCCCTTCCTTCCCTCAATTTACTCTCTCTTTTACTTCACACTCACAGATCCCTTCTTCATCAAGGATAATCTTACCTCCAGTAAGCACATGGAATTTGTCCAATTTATCTCGTGTCAGGCTGAACTTTCTGGTTTTGTGTCATTTCTCTTGTCATCCGTCTTCCACCTTTCCCTGTTGGTGACTGTGGTTGGTTTTTGTCATTAATATTTCCAACACTTTCCTCCTGGAAGTCATCCTGTGACCATCTTTCTGCCTGTTTTTTTCCTTGACTACTTGTCATTGGTTTTTCAGTCTGTTCTTCTACTAATTGTCAGGAAGCCTTGTCTGTGGACTTTCTCCTTTCCCAGTACCATGATGTGTTTCTTCCCTTGTTCCATTCCTTCTTTCTCCACTGTTCTCTTCACTCTTCTGTCATGCCTGACTGAGACCTTATTGAGCATTACCTGATCTGATGCATGCCCCATTTGACACCTTGGCTTCCTGCTTTTTTTACCATTTCTTTATCCTTTCCTGTTTCATCCTTCTTCTGTTTGGGTGTCTATCATATGGTTCTTCTTGCACCTTCTTCTACTACACTTCTGTATCCCTCTACCTGGTCCAATCTTTCCTTTCTTAGTCTTTCACTGCTCAGGAGGTTGCCCATACTTCTTTCCTATCTTCCTCCCTTCTTCCTCTTGGCTATTGAATCATCTCCCATGACCTATTGGGTTGTTAGATATGCCTATTCATGAATCTCCTTTTTTCTAAAGACCTCTTTTCTTCTCCTTTTATTTGTTGTGTCCATTACCTCCTCCTGTTGGTATGTTTAACTTGAGTTGGGGATTTTGGCATACTATTTTACATTTCTTTGCATTTGATTTGTCTTGTTTTCTTCCATTTCTTCTTCTCTGGTCCTAGGATCAGCTCCTCTATGCAGGCATGTAAACTCTCTCCACACATTTGGTGTTCCTTTTCTCAGACTATTTCCTTAAATTAGTAGCCATTCTCGGATGTTTCCTCTTCCAATACCTCCATTTCTACCTATGGCTACTTGGTTGGTGGAGGTGTTCTGGCTGTTTTATCTCCTGTTGATGTTTGGCTTCCACAGGTACACATTCTTCTATCATCCCACTGTCTTTGAAAAGAATGTGTACTGTTTCCCTTTCAGGGCCCCTTATGTATTCATAGGATCTTGACAGGTGGGTGGTGGTGGTGCCTCTCAGAGTATACCTGTTTCCCAAAGTCTGCATTGAGCACCACAGAAAGCGCTCATACCATCTGCCCTGGTTCTGTATATGCCCACTGTGAGATGGGGTGTTCCGCAAGACCACTTGAGATATTCTCATGGTATAACAATATATTTACTTTTTTGGACTATCATGGATAAAGCCAGCACCATCTTTTCAAAATAGTTTTTTTTTTTCAGTCACCCATTGCACTGTCTCCATCACAAGACCTTTCCAGACTGAAGGACTGATGGGGATCCTGACATTCACACCACAAATCTCCCCCCCCCCTTCATTCATCAAGTGGAGCATGGAAGACCTCTGCCACTTATCAGTTTCTAGCTGCTTGGGTGGTGGACCATGAAAAACCTTCACCAATTGGACTTGTATACTGGGGTGGTACACAATTGAGCACCAATATAGTGGGAAGTGGGGGGGTGATACTGTCAGTGTATCACAGGTCACCCCATATATAGCTATGCATATAACACATGCCAGTTATTCCCTGCTCCTGCAGCCTTTGTCTTTTCAGGTGATTTGAGATGAGCACAAAATATGATAATGGGTCCTCCTCCTGCAAACATCATCTGTTCAGTTGAGTTGAGGCAAGCATGCACTAACCTACCGTGCCCTCTTCCTGCAGCTGGTGTCAGTCCAATAAAGTCTGATGTTAAGGTTGAGGTGGCACACAAGGTATAGTCTGTACGTGCCCCAACCACACTACACATATTAGCTCTCCGATCTCTCTGTGAAAGTACTTGGAATGCCATGTTCTTATTTCGTCCATCCCTGCAAGTTATAGGACTAATTTGTCTCTTTATTTTCCTGGATGATAAGTATACCTTGGAAGAGATTAAATGTAGTCTCCCATAGGTGTACCTGTATAAAGCCCCTGACATCAGGTATCACACTCCATGGACTTTCTGAGGGTGCTTTTTGATAGGATTTCATCTAGGTAAAACTTTGCACTATCTCCTCCACCACTTTAATGTGGGACTCTAGCTAAACTGTGTGTGGAGGTGTATCATTTCAAGTTAACATTATCCTTATCTGAAAATGTATTTCTGATAGATAACACACCTTTGCACACACACATTTGCCTCATCCTTCCCACTTCTGGTGCACCTTTTTTTTTCCATGCCTCATCAAAGAATGAAGTTCTCATGTGCAAATACATAGGAGTTTTTTTCTCATGGGTATGTGTTGCACGCCTATTGGTGGAGGGCTTTGCTCAAGAATCACATGGATAGCTGTGTTTTCTATAAACTCTACCTACATTCTAATACAATATCACATCTATAGATTACTTTGTTTTACAGAAATTATACATTACAATTGACTACATAGACACATTGATGAACAATCAAGTTTTTCTTTTTAAATTGGTATACTTCCTTGTATTCAACCTAGATTTAATTGGTATATATACATTCATATGTTGAACGTAGATTTAATTGATATGTATACATCTTATATACATTCTTATATTTAACCTAGATTTAATTGGTTTACATACATCATTGTATTCAACCTTGATTTAATTTGTATATATACATCCTTATATTCAACCTAGATTTAATTGGTATACATACATCCTTATATTCAACCTAGATTTAATTGGTATACATACATCATTGTATTCAACCTTGATTTAATTTGTATATATACATCCTTATATTCAACCTAGATTTAATTGGTATACATACATCCTTATATTCAACCTAGAATTAATTGGTATACATACATCCTTATATTCAACCTATAATTAATTGGTATACATACATCCTTATATTCAATCTAGATTTAATTGGTATACGTACATCCTTATATTTAACATATAATTAATTGGTATATGTATACATACTTCCCATCCTTTTTGATATTGGTTTAACTTTATTCAACCTAGATTTAATTGGTGTACTTCCTTATATTCAACCTAGATTTAATTGGTATACATACATACTTCCCATCCTTTCTGATATTGGTTTAACTTTATTCAACCTAGATTTAATTGGTGTACATACATACTTATATTTAACCTATAATTAATTGGTATACATACATACTTCCCATCCTTTTTGATATTGGTTTAACTTTATTCAATCTAGATTTAATTGGTATACTTTCTTGTATTCAATCTATATTTAATTGTTATACATCCTTTCTTTTTAAGTTATTTTGTGTATCCTCTTGTTTGTTAATTTCCAGTATAAATTCTTTCTGAGAAACTTCAGCGATACAAGTCCTTTCTTGATTAACCCAGTTTATTCTTCCTCAATACACAGTAATTTCACAGTGAGTTCATACCTCATCACTCTGAACTTAACTTTTATAACACACACTATATATCACAGTGATTCACACACTTCGCTTACGGTGCCTACCATTTGCTTTACTCAATTATCTATCTGCCGCTAACTTTCTTTTCCAGGCTTATATATACTAAAAAAGAGGGCATCTAGATCACACTTGAGCTGTCAGGCAAATTCACGATCCTTTGAGAAACTCTAGTGCGCATGCTCCCAGCATCGCGTGTATTACGCTGTCATAACAGTTCTTTATTAACCTTTCTAAGTTCCTTTTTCTCGTCACTTTATTTCTTCTGCTTCAGTGTTTATTTATTAATTTGTTAAATATCTTACTTAATACTCAGCTTGTTTCATAACACCTTCACTAAATTACTATATTTGCTAATCGATTAATTTATGGCCTCATTAATTGATTAAAAGAGTTCCTCAAACCATGGTTTATACAACTGGCTGGCAGCTAATTGCCTTTCTTATAGTCAGTAGTTCAACATTAATAACAGGGGTGTATAGCCTTAATAACTTTGACATAACAAAGACATGGCAAGCAAGTTTCGTAACAGGAATCAAACCTGAGGTTTCTAACTCACAAGCCCTTTCTCTAACTGTATCATCAGAGCTAAGCATACTTGAAGTAAAAACAACTTGTAAGACTAAAATTGGGTAGAGCACAGATAGCCCATTAAATAGCTTTGTGCTTAACAACAGAGAAACATAATAGCAATATTTAAATTACTTGGATAGTTTGAATAATCAAAAATGGTAAAAATTGGGAACTTAATTTCAATTAGTTGATTATTTTTTTAAAACTAGATTTAATCATCAATTTGATCAGTTCTGGGTATAGTCAAAAACAGTAATAATCAAAAACACTAATTTCAATTATATGTGTGGTGCTTTGAAATATATTTTGCTCTTTTACTAATTTCAGTTAGTTGATATTTTTGTGAGAATTTATATAATCAGTATTTTGATTAATTGATTTTGAATAATTAAAATGGTAATAGTTGGAAATGTTAATTTTGATTAATTGATTATTTTTGTGACTTAATTTTTATTAATGGATTAATTTACATGACACTAATCAATATGATTGCTGTTCATGCGTAATCAATTATATAGATTGATTGATTAATCCACCTAGCTCTAATAATCCATTGCTAAAACTTGTTAAGTAAAGCCTTCAAAAAATGAAATATGTAAAGTAAAACATTCAGAAGGTCTGATCACTGTCTATAATGCTCTTATAAAGAGATTAAAAATAATGGAAGCAAAGAAACTAATGAAGTGAAAAGTTTTTGTTTATTTTTAATTTTATCATCTCCTTTATGAAATACCTCAAACTGTAGTTATTCTATGAACATTCTAGAAGAAGATGTCTTTGGAGCATATGCAAGGATACTGTTGAAGTATTTCATATCTGAAGGAATAGTTTGTGGTCATTCTCTTTTTTTGTCAGGAGGAGATGTTTCACCAACCCAGATCTTGCAGGTATGCATATCTTTCCTGTAAACAGTGTGTTTTAGAGATCAAAACCAACATTAACTGATTTGAAAACTAACATTTACATTTTTACTATTCTATAGTAGCAATCATGCAAGGTCAGAAAATTCTTAGTGGTAGCCATGAAGGATCAGAAAAATTGAAGTGGCAGTCATTCAGTGTCAGAATATTTCAAATAGTTATAATACAGTATCAAAACTAAATTAATAAACAGAATTGATTACAAAATAAACATTAAAAATAACAAAGAAAGTATTATTTTCAACCGACCTAACAATCACTGTTTCTTGTTGTGCCTTCAAAAATGTTTCTAACATGACTAAACTTCATGCATTACCCAACAAGAAAGAATACCCACCTTTTGAATGAACTCAAATTTTCAAATTTAGAATTTTGTCAGGTTATAGAAAATATTTCAGTAAATGATTATTAAATATACTCTATATAAACATAATGAAACTTACAGGATTCCCCTTTTTTTCGTGTTGTTAAAAAATTTTAAAACAAGTTTTTACAACACAAAAACAAGATAACAAATTGACCAAATTCACCTATTCTGTTTCTCTAACGTAGAAGTTAATCAAGGTTAAAGAGATATAATTAAGGCTTGTTACTGTAGAAATAGTCACTGTAAGGTAGATATAACTCAGGCTTGTTACCATAGAAACTAGTCACTGCAAGGTAGATACTGTTACGACAGCGGAAGTAGCGCGATGCTGGGAGCATGCTGGAGTTCTAGAAAAATCAAGGAACCAGTCGACCGTCCTAGCATTTGCTAGATGCGTGCTCTTATTGTATATAAGCAGGCAGATAAAGTGACTGCAAGGATAGAATTGCAGAAAGGCAGAGATAGAGACAGATAATCGAGTCAAGCCATAAGTAAAGTGTATAAATCGTTGTGAATTATAGCGTGTGTTTAAGTT